GAGCAGGGGGCCAGGGAGCAGGTCCCTGAGAGCAGGGTGACGGGGAGCAGGGTGCCGGGGAGCAGTTCCCATAGAGCAGGGTGCTGGGGAGCAGGGTGCCGGGGAGCAGGGTGCTGGGCCGCCCTGCGCGGTCCCCCTGGAGAGCCTTTTGTTCTGGGGGGGGTACTCGCTGGGTACGGACGCCTCCCAAGTCGGAAGCATCTCCTGGAAATGAAGACACTGAGACTCCGGGTCCCGTCGTCTCTGCAGGGACCCCTGCTCGTTGGGGCCTGGGAGCTGGGCTGGGACGCTTCGCAGAGGTTTTAGGCCGAGGGCCGGGCCCTGCCCACGCCTCCCTCAGCGCCTCGCAGCTCTTCCGAGTGAAGGCTCCGTGAGGGTGCACCCTCCTGCGGCGGGTCCTGCTGTCCCTCACCCCTTCCCTTTCTCGTTTCTTGGGCTGTGGTCCTGGGAACCTCAGATGTCATTGCATGGCTCGCGAGGCTGGCCATCACGCTGCCCGCCCCGCGCACAGCACGCACGGCTCCTCTGAGTGCTGCCCTCACCAGCGCTCCTGTGTGCCGGTGCTCCTCCCCCGAGGGCGGGTCCCCCCACTAGGGACGCTCAGCCCTGTTTCTGAGTGGAGGTGCGTGTCTCGCATGAGGCCCGACGCCGCGGTGTGTTTGGTTCCAGGCGCGCGCACACGCTCACCGTGCTGTTCATCCTCACCTGCGTGCTGGGCTACGTGACTCTGCTGGAGGAGACGCCTCAGGACACGGCCTACAACACCAAGAGGTAACCAGGCCCCGCGGCCCCGGTGGACGGGACGAGGGAGGAGGCCAGCAGGGCTCGGGCAGCAGGTGGGGCGGAGCCTTGAGGCCTGGCAGTGCCAAGGACCGCGGTCAGCTGGGGGGACGGGCTGTAAACCCTCCCTGGGGCCAGCCCTTGCTTCTGTAGCGTGAGAGCTAACCACCTGCCGGGAGTGGTGGGCGCCGCTGTGTGCTCTGCAGGTGTCAGCGGCCCGTTCAGAGGCCAGGTGGCTCCTGTCAGCTGTGTCCTGGGCCTGTTGTTGGGGGACTGGAGAGCCACCTGCAGGGAGCCCCGTCTCCCAGCTGTCTCCCAGGTAGTAGTGGCTGCCAGGGGTCTGGCCTCAGGGCTGTGCTCCCTCCAGGAGCCCCTGTCTTGTCCTCCCCTGTCATGCTGGCTCCACCGCGGGGTTTCTGCCCCCTCCCACGCCATCTCCCGGTCAGCGCTGGGCGTCAGCCCGGAAGTCCACACCTCTCCCCGGTTCTGCCTCCTGCTGCTGGGCCCTGGTCTGGCCCCGGCCCCTGATTGCACTCAGGCCCGTGGCGGCTGGCCCTGGGCAGTGGGTCCAGCGTGGAGGAGGGAGTGGGGCTGTGCCTGGGGCCCTGGGACAGCCCGGGGCTGTGCTCTGTGCAGCAGGGCCCGCGGGAGGACACTGGACCGGTGGCTACGGGAGACACTGAGGCTGTTGGCAGGAGCCCATGTTTTCCTAGAGGGGATTTCTAAGTAGAACTTGATCTTTTCTGTGAGTTTGTCTGGCTGGATTTGTTGACTTAAAAAAATAAGTTATTTGACCAGAAAAAAATGGGTTTATTCGAGAACAGCAAAGAATTACAATTAGGGACCAGCAAGTTCTAGCAAGTGGAACAAGCAGAGGAGAGAGCGTTCTTTTAGGGAGAAAAGGAGGAAGTTCTTAGGGAAGGTCTGTGGAGGGCGGGAGGCTGAGGGCGGGGCCGGTGTCTCCCTGAGTCCTGGGCAGCAGTTTCTTGGGCATCATTTCTGTTGGGGCTGTAACTGGTGATCCTTCCTCTGGAGCCTTCCCGGGGTCTGTGAGGGCGCCCCCCTCTGGCGAGACTCCGCGCCAGCCAGGTTTCCTTTAGGCGTCTCGCTGTGTGGAGGGTCCGGCACAGCTGGGCAGGGAGGCCGGGGCAGGACGTGGCCATACTGAAGAGGTGCCATACGCTGTGAAATTGGGGCAGAGATGAGCAGTTCCGATGTCACCGGGCAAGTACTGTGGCAGGAAGCAGGTGGCCCCGGCTGGAGTGGCCCCGGGCGGAGTGGCCTGGGACGCCTCCCAGGGCCGGGACTGGGCCTCCCCAGCAGGTGGCAGCACCTGGTCTGGGCTGTGCCAGCGCCCTGGGGCGGGGCAGCTCCCTGCAGGGCTGACGTCCCTGTCGGAGCTCTGCTGCCCTCGGCAGGTTCCACGCACAGGTCCTGCTCACGTCAGACATTGGCACTGAACACCTTAGGGAGCTGTTCTCCTCAAGCTTTCCGTTCCAGCTTGTGTGCACCATTGTTCTTGTTCTGGGACTGAACAGGCTCTGTCACTTTGGGGGAGTCGGTTTAGTTTTCTTCGTAAGTCACTTTGTTGGCGTATAATTAACATACACCGGCCTCAGGCAGCCCCCGGTCGCCAGGCCTCTTGCCCACTGAACAGCTCCGAGGGGGCGTCGCTCAGCGAGCACCTGTGTGCTGCTGCCCCGCACGGTGGTTTGTGACATCACAGGGCGCCGCTCTGGCCCGGTTCGCGGCTGGGAGTGCCCGCCGGCACCGCACACGTCAGTGGCCCACTTATCTGTTGGTGGCATGGGACGTTTACATAGTGGCATCAGTGCACAGATGATCCCGTGAAGACCAGGAGAGACCAGCCACAGACAGCTCAGAAATGTTTGCAGAACATCTGAGAAGGGACTTGTTTCCAAAATATGCAAACTCTTAAAACCCCACCACAGGAAAACAGGCACACAGTTAGAGGGCGGCCCGGCTGGCGGGCTTAGTGGCTAGAGGGTTGGCCTGTGCACGAAGGGTCTTGGGTTCGATTCCCAGTCAAGGGCATATACCTGGGTTGCAGGTTCGTTCCCCAGCCCCCAGTCGAGTACATGCAGGAGGCAACCAATCGATGTCTCTCTCACCTCAATCAGTGATTCTCTCTCTCTCTTCCTCTCCCCCTCTCCCTCCCTCCCTTCCGCTCTCTCTAAAAATCAATGGGAAAATAATATCCTCAGGTGAGGATTAACAAACAAAAAGACTAGTTACTAGCAAAAGAGTCCGGTTTCAGTAAATGTGGCCTGTTCTTCGCACAGGAGCAGCAGGAGTAGTAACTGACCACTGAACGCAGTCTCGGTGGACTTTCCCTCAGGCGTCTCCAGACTGAGCTTGACCTCGAGGCCAGAAAAGCCAAGGCCAGGACTCGCATCAGGCTCCCCTGCGGTGCCTAGAGATTTGCGTGAGCTCCTGTCCCCTCCAGGTCTTTATGTCCGGGGAAAAGAGAGAGAGAACCAGCAGTGTTTCAAACAGAAAGTCACAGAAACGGCCTCACCTTCCACCATGCCGTCCGTGTGGCGACCTGCTCGGCTGGGGCCCCGTCTCCGTGACCCCGTGGCCTGGCTGTTGGTCGAGATGATGGGGGCGGGCTGATTCCGGGAGGTGTGCAGGCGCCGGGCGTGCTGAGGTGCTCGGAGGCACCGCGACCACCGGAGGCTGTGGGAGGCGTGCCTCACGTGGAAACGCGTTTCCCACCGCCCCAGGCATTGCGAGGCCTCAGCCCCCGGCAGTGGTGCACGCAGCAGCACCTGACCACCCGTCCTGCGGTCAGCAGCGTGGGGGCCAGCTCACCTGACTGCCCGGCGAAGGGAGGCAGACGCCGGGAGTGGGCGGCCAGGGTGCCCGTAGCCGACGCCGCTCAGTTCACAGCCGTGGTCACCCACCTTCCTTGCCCTGACTTAGAAGCAGACTGTGGCCGTGGACAGGGCGTCAGGATGACGGGCTGGCGCTGGGTGTGGGAGGAAGGGGCCTCCCTGCGGAAGCAGCACGGGCCCCGCCTTTGCGTTTTGTGGCTGAACCTTTGCGTTTCAGACGCAGATAAGCTCCTGCCGTGGAGAGCGGTGTTCTCACAGAATCAAGGCCCGCGACCACGTAAACACAGCGCGTTCTCTCCGGCCCCACGCTCTGCTCCCAGGCAGGGAGTGCTCCAGGAGGAGCTGTGCTGCCAGACGCAGCGGCCGAGGCGCATCCACTGCTCGGAGGAAAGCTGTTTAAAGGGCCTCCGTCCGCTCGGACCCAGCGTGGTCGCACAGAAACTCTCTCCCCAAGCATTCCCTTCCCTACACTTCCTGCAGCTTTCTTCTCCCTTGCAGTCCGCCTCCTGTTCTCTGACTCGCTCAGAAATCACAGGACAAATCACTGTCATGTCCCGTAACGAAAACACATCTCCACGCCTCCCGCCTGTTTTTAAGCCAAAACATGCCCTATTTTTCTGGTATACACAGTTGTTTTCCCTATTTTATTATTATTATCATTATTATTATTATTTGTGGCTTTAATTACATATATTAGAATTCTTAATCTATAGAAACTTTAATTTCTGGTGAAAACTAAGAAGTAAGCAATTGTGAACTGTCACACCAGTGATCCATAGGTTAATAAATTTATGAATACATTTTGTAATTTCTAGAAATAGGTGCTTTTTCTTATGCTCTTTCAATGAGGCACAAGACGCGTTTACTAAGAAAGCTGAATATCCTGGGTTCCTCTGTGGTGAGACACTAAAGTAGACAAATCTGTGTTCAGTAATTAATGTTGCATTATTTTATCTTATTTGGGAATAGTCTGGATAGCCATGAATTTCCATCATTTAACGTAGTTAGCAAAACTTGGAAGTTTCAAAGAGAGTTAGGAAACCATTTTTAAGTGCACATAAATATAGCTATTGCTAAAGACTTCACCCCAGCCCGCTGGCGTGGCTCCGTGGTTGAGCGTTGACCTGTGAGGCCAGGAGGTCACGGTTCGATTCCTGGTCAGGGCACAGGCCCGGGTTGTGGGCTCCATCCCCAGTGTGGGTAGTGCAGGAGGCAGCCAATCAATGATTTTCATCATTGATGTTTCTGTCTATCTCTCCATCTCTCTTCCTCTCTGAAATCAATTAAAAAGCATAAAACATGTCCTCAGGTGAGGATTAAAATAAAAATAGAGACTTTTACAAATTAGTAGTATCAGCAGAGTTAGAGAATGCCACACAGCAACCTGAGCACACACAGACGCACGGAGACCTGGAGCCTGGGGGGGAGGGGTCCCCGGGCGTGGGGGCTCTCGGAGGGTGTCTGTGGAGAGCGCGGGTGAAGGCCTGCATGTGTCCCTGGCCAGGGAGCCTGGGGCCAGGGGAGCAGGGTGTGGGCGCCTTTGTCCGTCAGCCCTGGAGAAGGCAGGTGGGCTCCAGCCGCTCCTGCCGCTGCGTCCGGCCTCACCGAGGGTTGTGAGATGCGGGCATTTGCTCTGAATTCCCAAGGAATTGGGGTGAAACTTCAGTGACGTCACGGGCTGACCTTCCTGTCTAACTAGTTATCCCTGACCAGCTTCTGTCCCTGGCGCGCACGGCTCGTCTTGGCTCAGGGAGGGGCCTTTCAAAAGCTCCCGGCAGGCTGTGCGCTGCGTCCGCCGATGTCACCACATTTCTGGTCAGGGAGTCACTGAATCCTCTCGAGCATCTTAATGACCATCTAGGATCCCCACCTCTGGGACGAGCGGGGACTTTCCGTCGCTTCCTTCTGCTCCGGTCAATGTTTGCTTTACTCACCTGATTTCTCAATCACCTCGAAAGGCTCGCACCTTTTTGGAGTCTCCCTGGGGCCTTCCCCCTTTCTCTTGTTCATTAACCTAATGTGTGGCTTTTTTTGTTTTGTTTCTAATCCTCACGCGTGGATATTTTTTCCATAGAGTTTTAGAGAGAATGGAAGGGGGTTGGGGAAGAGAGAAACAGTGATGTGAGAGAGATACATCGACTGGTTGCCTCCTGCACACGCCCCAACTGGGGCTGGGGAATCGAACCTGCAACCAAGGTACATGCCCTTGACAGGGAATTGAACCCGAAACCCTTTGGTACGGGGTGGTGATGCTCTAACCACTGAACCACTGGCCAGGGCTCATTAACCTAATGTTTTATTAGCACGTGTGGGACTCATGAGGGGAAGTGGAGACTGAACTCAGTGAGGCTCCCCGGGCGGCTTCTGTCTGTAAGGCTTGTTGCTAGATTTCTGTGCACTCATTTACAAAATAACCTGGGCCTGATTGGTGGCCTCAGTGGTTGAACGTCGACCTAGGAACCAGAGGTCACAGTTCGATTCTGGTCAGGCATGTGCCCAGGTTGTGGGCTCGATGCCCAGGAGGGGGGCATGTAGGAGGCAGCTGGTCAATGGTTCAATCATTGATGTTTCTGTCTCCCTCTCCCTTCCTCTCTGAAATCAATAAACATATACTTTAAAACAATAGTAATAATTCGGTCTTTCTATAGTTATCAGTGAAAGTGCTGTTATGGTGAGAGCTCGCTAAACGTTTCTCACTTTGGAAGTTTTTCCAGTTCACAGGATCTGTCTGTCTGGCCAGTGACAGTGGGATCCGTTCGCCTCAGTAGCGTTTCCTTCTTACGGACGAAGGCGTCGTGGTGCAGGCAGTGCAGCCCGGGACCCACAGTTCACGCCCGAAGTAGGGAGGACACGGCAGGCAGGCAGGCGGTGCCCGCGGCCTCTCCGGGCTCCCACCGAGTATGAGACACCTCCCGCCACCACTGGCTGATCCGTGGCCCGGCAGGCGCTCCTGGGGTGGGACTGTTGCAGCACCAACAAGGAACGCAGGTGGAGACGGGCCCTGAGGGGCCGGGTTTCCCATGGCACTCTTCCCCGAAGGCGGGCGCAGTTGGAACAGGACACGGAGCCCGGGACAGAGAACCAGACGGCAGGATAACCTCGTGTGGTTTTCCGGGACCCACGGCGGCGTCAGGCTCGGCAGACGCGCACCGGGCTCTGTGCCTGTGTCCTGTCCCTGCTGTCGTTCCTTCTTGTGGCAAACACCACCAGGGACATAGACGCAGAAAAATGGCCACCTCTGGGAGGAAAGAGCCAATGGGAGAAACCTAGGAGTCGCCACCCACGGAGCCAGTTTCTTCTGCCAAACTGTAACTTCTGCACCGAGAAGGAGGCGGGAGGCTGACGGAGGTCACAGCCCGACCTCCGAGGCTGCAGTGCCTGCCTTGGGTGCTCCGGGCGGAAAAATAATTCTCCTCCCACCTAAGTTCTCTGGCTGGACGAATAGTCCAGTGACCCGAGGCAGCTGAGCAGGAGGAAAGGACAGTTCACCACAGGGGAGCGCAGGTCCAGGGGGTGCGAGACCCCAGGGGCCCCGAAAGGGGAGGCCGCTGTGTCGGGGTAGTGACTCAGGTACAACGCGCAGCCCCAGCGCAGGGCTCTTCTCCACGGGTGCCCCAGGCCCAGCTTCCAGCCCGCCTGCCCCCCTGGGGTCGGGGCTGTCACTGGGTGGGCATCCCGGGGGCCCCTCCCGCCAGGGAGAAGCCAGCGTGGACCTGCGCTTACGCACACTGAGGGCTGTTTGTTCTTTATTCGCAGAGGTATTGTGGCCAGTATTTTGGTTTTCTTATGTTTTGGAGTCACACAAGCTAAAGACGGGCCATTTTCCAGACCTCATCCAGGTAACTTGCCATTTCGTTTTGTGTGTGTGCCCGCGCGCGGCGGTTCTGCTCTGAGTGGCTGCTCTGTCTGTGCTGCTGGGTGGGAGTGCCCTGCCCTGCCCTGCCCTGCCCTGCCCTCCCGGGCCAGCCACCCCCGCTGTGGCCATCGGAGGAGGATGAATGGGGGTGTTCCTGTTCTTTCAGCCCCTGGATCCCTCAGCCCCACGCAGGCCCCGCTCGTCCTGGCCTGCAGCTGTCCTCGCCCCCTGCCTCTGCCTCTGCCTCCCCCTGGCTCCTGCAGGGAGGGTCCCGGGCCCATCCAGTGGCGCTGGGGTGGCTCCAACAGGCGGCCGTGCCTTAGGCGTGAGGCGGCCGCCCTGCCATTGAGGCCCTGTCTGCGCCACGTTGTCTCTGTCCCTGTCCCCGAAGTTATGGGGAGTCCTGACAGCGCACAGCCCGGGACCCGCCTGCCCGGCCAGCGTGTGGCTCCGCTCCCTGGGGGCAGGGGCTTGGTTTTCCGGAAGAGTCACGTGTAGTAACGTGTTTCCTTTCATCTCAGTAGGGCTGTGTATTTATTGTAGAAAATTTGGAAAATGCAGAAATATTTTTAAGTAAAAATAAATACCACTTCCCAGATAACACTGCTAGGCTTTGACGTGTTTGTAGACGTCTGTCCGCGCATTGCTTTGCAGTTGGAACCGTGGGAGTGGCCTCGCATCATGGATTTCCATGCAGGCTGACACAGGCATCTCCTATTTGTTTATTTGACAGCTGGGTTCATTCGTCTGTCCGTCTGTCCGTCCGTCCTTCCTTCCTTTCTCTTTTATCCTCACCCGAGGATGTTATTCCCATTGACTTTTTTTAGAGAGAGGGGAAGGGAGGGAGAGAGAGAGAAAGTGATTGACGTGAGAGACACACCTGCAACCAAGGAACTTACCCTTGGCCGGGAATCAAACCCGAGACCGTGTGATCCTTGGGCCGATGCTCTAACCGCCAAGCAACCGGCCTGGGCTGACAGCTTGACTTTATCTTTTTTTTTTTTAATATATTTTATTGATGTTTTACAGAGAGGAAGGGAGAGGGATAGAGAGTTAGAAACATCGATGAGAGAGAAACATCGACCAGCTGCCTCCTGCACACTCCCCACTGGGGATGTGCCCGCAACCAAGGTACATGCCCTTGACCGGAATTGAACCTGGGACCCTTCAGTCCCCAGGCCGACGCTCCATTCACTGAGCCAAACCGGTTAGGGCTGACAGCTTGACTTTAATGGCTGCTTGTTCAGCCGCCACTTGAATGTGCTCCAGTGAACCCCCGTTCCTTGCCGAGGCTGCCTCGGGGTCCCCAGGAGCTGCAGTGAGCGTTCCCGCCGCCTGTGTGCACATCTGGGCTCTCTCCATCTGAGTCCTGGGAGGAGGAGCTGTGATGACCCCACGCCCTCAGAAGGGACGTGTTCGAGGCCTAGTGGGCACCATGTTTGTAAGCGAGGGCCTGTTGGCAGGGAGCTCGCCATGTCTCCTGCCAGGCGAACTCTCTGCCCTGCGCAGCACACCCGGGGGACAGTGGGAGGGGGGCTCTGACTCCACAGAGGAGTGTGGTGGGTCCCCCCCTTCCCCCCGGCGTCACTGGGAGGAGGCTCTCTGGGCTTCTCTCTCTGGAAACCTGGTTGTCCTTGAGAAGGCACTTCCCTTCCGAGGTGTCTCTCTCCCTCCGACAGCGGGGCCAGTCAGGGTGGCGCTGCCAGCGCTGTCGACGGCCAGCTTCAATGTTCAGGGAGAAAGTCGGGGGTGTCCTGAATCAGGGCTGGAGACCAAACTCCTGGTGGTGGAAATGGGGGGTGGGAGACTGCTGGATGTCGGGGAGAGGGGTGGGCAACACAGGGTGACAGTGGGGGCTCTGGGTGGCCGCCCTCTGTGCCAGCAGGCGCGGGGTCTGAGGTGCACAGCAGCAGTGGGGGAAGGGCGCCTTCAGGCTTGGTCTGGGGCCTGTGGAGTGATGTGCGAGGCGCCTGCAGGCGGGGCGGGAGGGGGCGGGGGGGCCCTGATTGCACCATCAGCCCAGTAACTGCTCTCGCAGCCCTTGGCCCAGGGAGCATTTCCCAAGCTTTAGCCACCGTGAGCGCCGGAGAACGCGCCTGCGCCTCGCTGCTCCTCCCAGGCCCAGGGCTCCGAGCGCACGAGCCTGGGCGCTGGTCTTCCCTCGGCAGGGGCAGGGCACGGGTAGGGCCACCGCTGTACCAAGTGAGAGAGACAAGAACTAGTAAGTGGTCATCGAGGGTAACTCACTGCTCACACTTAGCCTCCTGCTGCCCAGCCTGTCCCTCCCGTGGCTGCTCCTCCAGCCCCTGAGGGCTCGGCGCTGCAGAGCTCTCCCTCCCCATCTGGCACCTCAGGCCCTGGCACCTCCCCACCCCCCACCCGTCTGCCCGCACCTAGTCCTTCCTAACTGGGGGCCCGCTGCAGGGCGGGGAGCTGGAGACGTCCCAGAGCGACCTGGCCCGCCCCGCTCTCCTGGCCCCGAGTCCACGAAGCTTGTCAGTCCCTTTCTAGTCCCGGGAACTTGCTCCTAAGAGTCGGCTGGGGGTCTGCGTCACCTGCAAAGGAAAGTAGATCCGTGGGACTTTATTCAACAGGATCGTCGGGATTCTCCGTTTGCATTTTAGAGTAGTTTCAGCGCCCCTCCCGTGACCTCCTCCCGCAGTGAAAAGCTCAGCTTCCCACTGGGGCTGTGACAGGCAGCGGGGAGAGGGGCCTGCTGTGCTCTGGTGTAGCACATGCAGGGGACACACACCACCCCCCCACACCCCACCCCCCACACACACACACACACCACACACACACACCA